TTAGAGCTGGGATGGGCTCATCACACAGGTGAGGCAAAGAAAGTTGAGGGAGATGAAGTTACTTTCACAAGGTTGCACAACTGGGTGAGAAAGTCCCTCTTGGGTAACAACTTGCCGTCCTCCCAGTTTAGCGCAGTCTCTTCCCTGCCACACAGAGTTAGGATAAAGGTGCTCTGTATGAGTGTTTTGGAAACTTGAAATCACAAGATAAAGGAAAATTTGTCATGCTGTCATCTTTTCATTGGCACACTTTGCTCCTGTTCTGCTAGAAGGTGAGTGTCTCCCATGAATGTGAGCTCTTGGCAAGTGTCAGCTGCATCACTGGCACTAGCTGGTTGTGCTGCTGTCTGAGGTTACAGAGCCAGGGATAGAAAAAAGCTCTTGGCCACCTTCAGGCTCCAGGGCACCAGCACTGTCACCTGGGAGATAACAGCCCCATTCTCCCCTTTGCATTTCCACACTTCAATAGCAGTAAGCAGTAAGTTTCCTTAGGAGAGCGTATCTGTTTTGTCGGTAATAATTCAGTCTTTAACACATGAAACACACTAGCCCAACAATCCACTCAGCACTTGAAAGAGACTTATTTAGCTTTTGCTTTGACATACCCATTCCAAGCTTTAGTTTGCTCTGTTTCCAGACCTTTTGTCCTCCAACCATTTTAACTAATGTGCAAACATATTCTCAAACGGCCTCCGAAACAGATTATTACCAACAGACTGGAGAATGACGCAAATGTAGCCCATCTACATAAGTGAAACAAGTTTAGCCAAAGGGATCACTTGTGTGCCTTAAATCATGGAGATGGGCTATATCCACAGGGCTGAATTCATAATTGCAGGCTTTAACAATTTACCCCAGTTCTTTTTTGACCCAGGCTTTGGGTGGCTCCCATCTTTTCACTTCAAGAACTCCCCACCCCCACTGCACACATACACACAGATGGCAAAGCCAACACAGCTCACGTCCTTCTTTGGTGGTCTCCACTGGCACACAAGTCCATTGGCATAATTTTGAGAACACCAAAGATGATTCAGCTAGCTCCACATGTACTTTTTATGAGAAATGAGTCAATAAGTTGTTTCTCTGCACACTCCCCCAGAGAAAGAACCTAGAGCACAGGGAGCTGTAATATTAGATTAGTAACTCCACAACAGATCACAGGTGAGAAGACAGCATGTGGTAAATAGGAAGCCACTAAGCCATTAATCCGAATTCTCCAACCCAGGGGGTTTTCCCTCAGCCTGATCCAGGTTCAGAAGATGGGGTGCCCTTCATGGGCTCTCCAACATCCTCTAACCAACATCAGCCATTCATTCCCACTAATTTAATGGTGTCGTTTCACTAAAGGACTATGCCTGGGAAACTGTGCTGGGTCTGTCCCTTGGCAAGCATCTTCAACTGGTCATGTCATCCCCAACACAGATGCCTTGGGGAGAATGTACCTGCCCACCTCCATCTACCCCAACCAGACCCTGTGTCCAACTTCTCCACCACACTCAGACAAGCCAAGGAGTGAGCCACACACGTCAGAAGCTTCCTGGTCAGTTTTGACTCAACTGTCCATTAAAGTGTTTTGTTCCTATTTTATAAATATCTGATGCTATTCGGAATAGAGAAGTCAGAAGGGAACTCATTATTACTGTGATTATATGATATGTTATTCGATCTTGAGAGAGTCATTTCCCCTCTGAGTCTTTTTTCTTACTTGTGAATTAAGAAGGTTGAACTGTAAGACCCCCATGGTCCTGTCAGGCTGTGACCTCAAGTGGGTCTACTTATTACCTGCTAAATGGTCCCAGCCCCCACCTTGTTTTCCTCCCACCCCAATTACAAGAAAGAGGTCAGGGTGCTAGGCCTCTTGTTCTTACAGTAAGCTTCTGGAGGTGAGACTAATGCAGATGAGATTTAGCATTCACCAGACTTTAGCTCTTGGAGCTGGCAGGAAACTCAAATAATCCACCACCCAAAAGCTATGCAGTAAGGCAGGTATAGCAGTATTATCCCCAAGACGTACATAGGAAAACCATGATCCAGAAAGGCTAAATGATATGCACAAGGAGCCCAGCTGTTTTAACAGGTGATACCAAGAGAACTAAAAGCCAAATCTTCCCATTCCTCACACTGCTCTCCCTCCACACCACCAGAGTTGTTATGAAAGGGCATTATTTGAGGGGTTAGCCAAAGCTTTAAAAGAAATTACCAAATATAAAATGATGTCTTACAGAAGAAAACAATAGCTGTAGCCCTTAATATTTATACTATTATTTATGACCCAGAGGTGATAGTAAGAGGTTTGATACTAAGCCCTTTACCAATGAGAAAGCTACAGATAACTGACATTTTTCCTATTAACCAATCTATTTCATGAATCCATAAATCAGAAACCACCAATGGGGTATTTATAAATAACGGCAAAGGAGTTCCAACCCAACATATTCAGTTGGTTTGGAACTCCTTCCCAGGGGAGAAGAACTCTGCTCTGTTAACCTACCAGGTGACTGACACATTTTACATATGTGTTTATAGTTCTGCCGATTTTTAATAAGAATCTGTGGAAGCTGGAAAACTGTTCTATTTATCTGCAAAATTTCAGTGCCATTACTCTAAATAGAAAATGGTTTATTTTAAAAACCAGTGTGTTTTTAAAGCTAAATTTCACTTTCCCCATATGTGTTTAAGAAGCTCTTTTAGATTCAAATAATTTATTTGAATTATCTAAGCCAAAATGATCATATTTTCCTAAGAAAAAATTTTCTAAAAATGTGCTCACAGAGAAAAATATTCCCAACATGTACTAAAATTCTCATTTGTGGGCCAGGAGTGGTGGCTCATACCTGTAATCTTAGCACTTTGGGAGGCCGAGGCGGGTGGATCACTTGAGGTCAGGAGTTCAAGACCAGCCTGGCCAACATGGTGAAACCCCATCTCTACTAAAAATACAAGAAATAGCTGGGCAGTAGCACGTGCCTGTAATCCCAGCTACTCGGGAGGCTGAGGCAGGAGAATTGCTTGAACCCGAGAGAAGGAGGTCGTGGTGAGCTGAGATCGTGCCACTACATTCCGGCCTGGGTGACAGAGCAAGACTTTGTCTCAAAAAAAAAAAAATTCTCATTTAAGAACCCCAACATTCATGTTAGGTATGATTCTGCTCTTGTAAATGATCAGTCTTGACTCATTTCATCCCCCTACAAAATTCACACAAGCCACCCCAGAGAATTAGTCTTTGGGATTTTAAAGTATCTGAAAACCCACCACACAGATACAAGCATGGGTTGTTGTGAATCTAGAGCATCTGAGTATCCAAATTCTCTCCTTCCAGCTCTACATTGGCAGCATTTTGTAGCAAGAGCTACACTGGAAAGAGAAGCTCACTGGAAAGAGAAGTGGTAGCAGTTCTGTTTTCCCAGAGAAAAGGCTGCTGTCCCACTGCTGGTACTGATCTGAAGGCACAAAGGCATCATTATACCACCAGTAAGACATGGAGTCTTGACATCCCGGGAGGATGACCTGGATGTCCCAGGTCTTGACATCCCGGGAGGGAGCAGGCTGTTCCTTTTAACGTTCTCAAGCCTGAGTCCTATGAGCCCGTTAGTTCTAAAATGTGTCTTGCACCTCAACTTAGTTTCCAGGTGGCTTCCTAGATTACCCACACAACCCAGCCAGACTGAGACCTTGGGAGCCTCTGTAATCTGAAGCAATGAGGGCCCAGCTGATCAGGGCTGGAGACTTGCCAAATGAACTGCCTTATCTTAATCCATCTGGAATGTCAACTAGGAGTAAGAAAAAGGAAGGACAATTCCCACAGAACACAAACTAGGTAAGAATCTGACATTTTTCTTTGCAATGACTTGACATCCTCACTTTTTCAAAGAAAATCACCTTAATCAGTCCAGTGGCCCTTCCTGCTACCACATGGCCCAGGCACTCATTCAGAAAATGACTTAGAGCATGTCCTAATTCCAACACATTTACAGAGAATTTAGCTTCCTTTAATTTCATCCATTGCCTGCAGGACTAACAATTGAAAACAGTTGCTATAGTTTGAATGTTTGTCTCCTCCAAACCTCATGTTGAAATTTGATCCCCAGTGTTGGAAATAGGGCCTAATGGGAGGTGTTTGGGTCATGGGGGTGGATCCCTCTTGAATAGATTAATGTGCTCTCTGGGGGAAGTGGGGTGGTAAGTGGATTCTTACTCCATTAGTTCCCACAAAAGCAGGTTGTTACAAAGAGCCTGGCACCTCCTCTTCCTGTCTCTCACTTCCTCTCTCACCATCTGATCTCTAGACAAGCTGGCTGCCCCCTTCACCTTCTACCATGAGTGACCGGGTCCGAAATCTTCCAGCCATCAGAATTTTGATTTTTCTTTGTAAGTTACCCTGCCTCAGGTATTTCTCTATAGCAACACAAAATGGACTGAAACAGCAGTGTAATCCAAAACAATACTGCTCCTCTTAACCACAAGCTGGTGCCTGACTACCTCAGTACATGGTTGCCTCCAAATTCATTTTAGCGAAGAAGTAACTCATCTCAAAATTTAACAGAAAAAAGGAAAAGCAAACTTTCAGGAAAATGGTATTCCTATTACCAGGAGTTAATTGGCTATGAAACAGCCAAAAGTCAGCAGCAGATAAAAGAAAAGTCTGCATAATTAGAATAACCAATAGGTAGACATTCAGCAACTATATACTCAATAGAAGACTTGCCAGTGCAGTGGCCATGCATGCCTGCTGCTGCAGGCCCACCATTCCTGAACCAGTGGCTTACATTCCACGTGGAGTAGGAGTAAGCCTTTGGTCTCTTCCACACCCATTCACCGTCATGCAGGGCCTCCAAACCGCCAAAGGATGGGAACAGCAGGCAAGGGTATCTATCAAGCATGCTCCCCCTGTTCTACACATCAGTCATGCTATTTCCCACCCATTTATTCTTCTGTTGACCACCCACATTTAATTCAGTTTTAAAGACATGACAACAAGGTCTGAGATTTGAGGGATGTACCTGACTCTCTCTCCCCTCCAGTGGTGGTGGAATCTGATCAGCAAAACCAATCTTCCCTGGATCACCCATAAAGGCACTAACCTCATCCACGTTCTCAAAAGCGTTGATGACATCATATGGCAAACAGGACAGAAGGTCAATCACAAACCACGTCTTCAGGTAGTTCATGCGGATAAGTTTGGGGTCAGAAATCACCTCCCCTGCTGGTCCAACAAAGGTGGTATGAAAATTGAGCACAATGTCCACCAGAAAGATAACATCCACGATGCTATCAACAACCAGCCAGGCCACATTGTTCTGCCTGGTTTTGAAGGAGACATTATAAGGGACCAAGATGGCTGTATAGAAGGTCAAGATCAAGATGATCCAATCCCACGTGGTCTTAAAAACACAGTAATGTAAGATGATGTGAGGGGGAGTCTTTGGTGCCTCTTGCTTGTACTGGGGAAGGATGTCCGAGCCCAGCTGTAGGACCTGTACAGAAAAACATGACCAAGAGAGAACTAAGTTAGGATTTAATTGCAAGTATCTAACCAGTCAGCATCTGTGATTGACAAATGGTCACAACACTCTAGATAAATCGTTTGGGTACAATAACAGGTATAAAGGAATACGGGAAAATGAAAGTGAACATTATAATAGAAATAATTATAAAAAAACAATTACAAACTACTATTTGGCTGTGAGCCAAGTGTTATACTAAACACTTTACACACATTTATTATCTCAATTCTAAATACACCTTTGTTCTATTAGCCAATTGTTATTCCATAAGTTAGAAACTGGGGCTCAAAAAGATTAAGCAACTTTTTGTTCAATAAATATTAATTGCTCTGATTTCATCCAACAGTGGCAGAATGCACATTCTTCTCATCAGCACATGGAACATTCTCCAGGAAGACTATATGTGAGATGACAAAACAAGTGTTAACAAGTTTTTAAAAATCAAATTCATATCAAGAATCTTTCCTGACCACAGTGAAAGTAAACTAGAAATTGAAACATGTGGAACTTGGGAAACTTTATGAATACATGGAAGTTAAACATGCTCCTGAATGACCAGTGGGTCAATAGAGAAATTAAGAAAGAAATTTTAAAGTGTCTTAAAACAAATGAAAACATAACAAACACCTATGGGATACAGCAAAAGCAATACTAAGAGGGAAGGTTATAGCAATAAATGCCCACATCAAAGAAGTTAAAAGATTTTAAATAAACAACCTAACAACGCACCTCAAGGAACTAGAAAAGCAAGAACAAACCAAATCCAAAATTAGAAGAAGGAAAGATATAAAATAAGAACTAAATTAAATAAAATTGAGACAAAAAATACAAAAAAGCAATGAAATGACAAGCTGGGTTTTTAAAAACCTAAGTTAAAAAAACCCAAACCTTTAACCAAGAAAAGAAACCCCCAATAAAATTCAAGATGAAAAAGGAAATATTACAAGAAACAGGAAACAAATACAAAGGATCATTAGAAGCTACTATGAATAATCATATGCCAACAAATTGGAAAACCTAGAGGAAATGGATAAATTCCTGGACACATACAATCTACCAAGATTGAAACAGGAAGAAATGGAAAACTCTAACAAGCCAATAACAAGAAATACGATTAATTGAATCAGTAATTTAAAAAATCTCCCAACAAAGAAAAGCCCAGGACCAGATGGCTTCAATGCTGAATGTTACCAAAGTTTTAAAGAAGAATTAGTACCAGCTATTCTCAAACTATTTTTAAAAATTGAAGGAGAGAGCATTCTTCCAAACTCAATCTATGAGGCCAGCATTACCCTGATACCAAAACCAGACAAGGGCAAATCGAAAGAAGAAAACTACAAGCAAATATTCCTGATGAACCTACATACAAAATCCTCAACAAAACACTAGCAAACTGAATCCAACAGAACATCAAAAAAAAATGGTGTACACTATAATAAACTGGAATTTATCCAGAGATGCGAGAATGACTCAACACATGCAAATTAACAAACATGGTACATCACATCAGCAGTAGGGGAAAAAAATTATTATCTCAATAGATGCAGAAAAAGCATTTGATAAAATTCAATATCCCTTCAAGATTTAAAAAAAAAAAAAAACTCTCAACAAATTAGGTATAGAAGAAAGGTACTCAAATGCCTTACATTCGCAGCAACCTGCATGAGATTGGAGACTATGATTGTAAGTGAAGTAACCCAGAAATGGAAAACCAAACATCGTATATTCTCACTCATGAGTAGGGGCTAAGTTAGGAGGATGCAAAGCCGTAAGAATGACACAACAGACTTAGGGGACTCAGGAGGAAAGGGTAGGAAGGGGGTGAGGGATAAAAGACTACAAATTGGGTTCAGTGTATGCTGCTTGGGTGATGGGTGCACCAAAATCTCACAAATCACCACTAAAGAACTTATTCATATAACCAAACACCTACCTGTTCCTCAGTAACCTATGGAAATAAAAAAAAATAAAAATATAAAAAGACGTTACAGGACAAACCCACAGCTAACATCATACTGAATAGGAAAAAGTTGAAAGCCTTCCCTTTAAGATCAGGAACAAGACAAGAATGCCCATTTTCACCACTGTTATTCAACATAGCACTGAAAGTCCCAGACAGAACAATTAGGCAAGAGAAAGAAATAAAAGGCATCCAAATTGAAGCAGAGGAAATCAAACTGTCCCTGTTTACAGACATAATCATATATTTAGAGAAACATAGACTACACACACACACACAAAACCTGTTAGAACTGGTAAACAAATTCACTGAAGTTGCAGGATACAAAAATCAACATACAAAAGTCAGTAGCATTTCCACACACCAACAGCAAACAATCTGAAAATGAAATCAAAGGAGCAATTCCATTATCAATAGCTACAAAAAAAATTAAGTGTCTGGGAATAAATTTAACCAAAGAGAAGAAAAATCTGTACAAATAAAGCTATAAAACACTGAGACAAGAAATTGAAGAGGACACAAAAAAATAGAAAAGTATTCCATGGATTAGGAGAATATTATTACAATGTCTAATTACCCAAAGCAATCTACAGATTCAATGCAATCCCTATTAAATTACCAATGACACTCTTCACAGAAGTAGAACAACTTAATCCTAAAATTTACATGGAATCACAGAAGACCCAGAACAGCAAAAGCTATCCTGAGCCAAAAGAACAAAACTAGAGGAATCACATTATCTGACTTCAAATTATACTACAGAGTTAAAGTAACCGAAACAACAGGGTAGTTGCATAAAAACAGACACATAGACCAATGAAACAGAGAGAACCCAGAAGTAAATCCATGTATCTACAATGAACTCATTTTCAACAAAGCTGCCAAGAACATACATTGAGAAAAGGACAGTCTCTTCAACAAATGGTGCTGGGCAAACTGGATATCCATATGTAGAAGAATGAAATTAGAACCCTATCTCTTCTCATATTCAAAAATCAAGTCACACTGGGTTAAAAATTTAAATCTAAGACTTCAAACTATGGAATCACTAAAATAAAACTTTAGGGAAACTCTCCATGTTGCTGGACTGGGCAAAGATTTTTAAGGTAAACCTCAAAAGTACCGGCAACCAAGGCAAAAATAGCCAAATAGGATTATATCAAGCTGAAAAGCTTCTGCACAGCAAAGGAAACAATCAACAGAATGAAAAGACAACCTACAGAATGGGAGAAAATATCTGCAAACTATTCATCTAACAAGGGATTTCTAGAATATACAAGGAATTCAACTCAACCGCAAAAATTGAATAATGTGATTTAAAAATGAGGAAGTAATCTGAATAGCTATTTATCAAAAGAACACATACAAATAAATGGCCAACAGGGATATGAAAAAATGCTCAACATTACTAATCATCAGGAAAACGCAAATCAAAATGCAATGAAATACAATCTTATCCCAGTTAAAATGGCTATTATCAAAAAGACACATATACACAAAAAAATTTTAATGGGCTGGGCGTGGTAGCTCACGCCTGTAATCCCAGCACTTTGGAAGGCCAAGGTGGGTGGATCACCTTAGGTCAGGAGTTTGAGATCAGCCTGGCCAACGTGGTAAAACCCGTCTCTACTAAAAATACAAAATTAGCCGGGCATGGTGGCATGCACCTGTAATCCCAGCTACTCAGGAGGCTGAGGCAGGAGAAACACTTGAACCCGGGAGACAGAGGCTGTAGTGGGCCAAAATCATGCCACTGCACTCCAGCCTGGGCAACAGAGCAAGACTCTATCTCTATAAAAATAAAAAATAAAAAATAAATACTGGTGAGGATCCAGATGAAGGGAAATTATTATATACTTTTGGTGGGGATGTAAATTAATACAGCCATTATGCAAAACATATTGAGGTTCCTTGAATAAAAACAGAACTACCATATGCAGCAGCAATCCCATTGGTGGGTATATATCCAAAGGAAAGGAAAATGGTATGTCAAAGAGCTATTGGCACTCCCATATTTATTGCAGCATTATTCACAGTAGCCAAGATATGGAATCAACCTAACTGTCCACTGACAGATGAATGGATAAACAAAATATGAATGGATATATATACCCAATAGAATATCATTTTGCCGTAAAAAAAGAATGAAATCCTGTCATTTGCAGCAACATGGATGACCCTGGAGGATATTACGTTAAATGAAATAAGCCAGGCACAGAAAGACAAATACCACATGCTCCACTCATATATGAAAGCTAAAAAAGCTGACCTCCTAGAAGTAGAGAGTAGAATAGTGGTTACCAGAGGCTGAGAATGGTACCAGAAGAGAGTGTGATAGGGAAGGGTTGGTTAATTGATACAAAATTTCAGCTAGAGTAAAAAAACAGATTAAGTATTTAAGGTGATGGATATCCCGACTACCCTGATTTGATTATATAAATTTATCAACTTATCACATGTACCCCCAAAATAAGTATATCTAAAGTGTATCAATAAAAGTTTTTTTAAATTAGTATTTGATAGGAGAAATAAGTGTTCTATAGCACAGTAGAGTGAATAGAATAATAATTTACTATATTTCAAAATAACTAGAAGAGAGGATCTTGAATGTTTCTAGCACAAAGAAATGAAAAATGTTTGAGGTGATGGAGACCTCAATCACCCCAATTTGATCATTACATACTGCATACATGTATCAAAATATCATGTGTACTCCATAAACATACATAATTATGTATCAATTAAAATTTTTAAATATATTTATTGCTCTGTGCCTGGAACTGTTCTAGGTACTGGACGTGCAGCAATGAAGGAAACAGCATGATGCCTGCTCTCGTGGAGCTCAGTCTAGGAGACAAATCAAAATCATTTCAAATTGTGATAACCACTAAATAACACTGGGGCAAGCAGAACACTGTGATTTGATAAAATGTGACTTGAGTAAGGGAGGGAAAGTGTTTGAATTGAAACCTAAGTGACAATAAAGAACCAGCCATTTAAGTTTGTATGG